TAAGAATGATAGTATCCGTTCATGTTTTTAATTTACGTAAGTATATAAAATATATACAAAATAAAAGGTCAACGAAGCAAAGAAGAAGAAAAATCAATTAAAAGAAGAAGAAAAGTGAATAAAAAGAAAATTCTATCGGTATCATTTGATATCATGCAATAAGTATGATATAGATATATGAATATATATTTCTTTCATAGAAAACAGATTTATTTCACCTTCACTCTGATAAAAAAGTTTATCTATTAATATTGTTTCAAACTTTTTCTTTCTAATATCTGTTGTATAACAAATAATCATCTTCTCAATATATGATGAACAATAATCAATATAGATTCTCTCTCTGTTTTATTCTATTTATTATTAGTAGAAGATGTGTGTATACTCTTAGTCTTATTATCAAATTATCTTCCATATAGAAAGGAAAACGCAGATTGTTTTTTTATTTTTTGTTTTTTATATTCCATATTCCACCTTTTGAAGATATACGTTGGAAGAGATGAGAAGAAAAATAAAAGAAGAGAACAGAAATCGGATATTTTATAGATGTATACTCTCAGGTATTTTAGTTATTTGATCAGTCAATTATTAAACACAAAAGGAAGAAATAGGACTGTTGTTTGGTATGTAATTCTTTATTTAAGAAGAATTTACAAATAAACGTACTACTCAGTTGTGCTGTCGGAAACTTAACGATGGTCAACAAAAATATTTAATTCGTCATTTCTTTTTCTGTCTCTTTCACTTATTTATTCAAGTATTTTATTGCTGACAGAAGTACAATCAATAGTAAGAACTAACGATAAATACATATTTGAGTTATAGATCAAACGCAAGAAAAAAAGGAAGTTATTTTTTTTCTCAAAAAAAAAAAAAGAAATAAAAACCACAACTAAACCAATGTCACCGTTCTTATTGTTCGTAAAAAAATTTGTTGGATGCCTAGACAAATTTATATAAACATGTCAATCAATCTCTATCACGTTATCATATGTAAATAAGAATTATTTTAATGTTTTATTAATGATAAATGTATCGATATCAAATAAAATCAAATTATACTAATTTTAATTATTATCATATTAAAATATTATGGCTGCTGTGGAATATTTATATGTACATTTTTATAAATTAAATATTTTATTTATTCTACTTCTTCTGATTTCAACACAATGTTTAGCTGAAAGAGAAAATTTAGCCCATCGAAATCCATGTTTTAATCGAAATAAACGATTAGCAAACTTTGTATCATTAACACTACGAATGATCAGTAGTCAACAGAAACGTAAGTGTTTTTTCAATTGATTTTATCTTGTTATTGAAGAAGAAAATAAAAAATGGGATTATTTTTACAATGATAAAAAGCATATAAAATACATAAATTCAGATTTCTTTTTTTTTTTGACAATGAACTAGTAAAAATACGGCATTTATAAAAAGGTATCAAGAGTATAACGAATGAGAAATAAATAATTTATTTTTCCATATTTATTGGAATATATCTGATGAATGAATGAATGGTCTCCAATTCCCTATTCTAAAATGTTTTCATTTGTTTTTTATTTTTCTATTTTTAGCTGGTCAGATTAACGATGCATGTGGTTATAATCAACCTTCTTGTTGTACTAAAGAAATAATGAATTCATATTCAGCTAGTATTATTAATGAATTAAAAAGTTTACCTGAAAAAAGACTTACAGATTTAACAGGTTTACTGTCAAATACACGCAATCAAATCGAGTGTAAGTTAGTGATATTTTTTCTAGATTTTGTATTCTTTTCATTAAGATAAATATGCAAAAATATCCATGAGAGAAAAATAAAAAATTCATTTTCAGATAATAATATCAAATAATGAATATATTTTTATTTTTATTAGTAATATTCTTATTATTCTAATCTGTTTGAGTGACATTAAAAATTTTGGTAAAAGATTGTTATTTGTAAACACAAAATAGCTTATGGCTTTAACAAAAGAAAAAATAGCATACAAAGGTCGATATACAGTTATTTGGAAGCTAAGCGTAGTTGAAAGATGTCTTTATCAAAAAGGTAAGAAAATCTATCCGCTACAGATTTGTAACAATAGCCTTTTGGATATTTTGATAAATTTTATTCTTACTTTTTCGATAATTGAAATTCAAAAACGATTGACAAATGTTACCAAAAGAAAACCATAATTAAATTTTTTATATTAAAATTTTGAAAAGTACTTAGACTATAGTAATCGTTTCGTATGCAAAATTTTGTTTATAAGTCGCTGCTATCTCTGTTTGTTTTAGCCAAACAAACTAGTTCACTGTAAACTAGTTTCACAACATGACTGAATGATTTCCGAATAGTTTATTTGTTTCTTTTTGTTTTAATTTTAGTATGGAGTATTGATCATTTCAATGTAATAAAACGTTTAACTGAACAATCAATGGAAACTTTGTTTGGCACATACGAATATCGACATCATATTCATCGTTCAATTGAACAATTATTTAATTCATTGAAATCTGAAAAATCCGATGAAGTTCATAAATCGGCAACCAGTTTATTCAAACACATGATTATTTCCACTTATCGCCGTTTTATGATGAATGGCAATTATGTTGAATATAATGGTCGATTTACTGATGAATTTCGTTCATGTTTAACAACAAAAGGTTTTGAAATTGATGTATTTCCATCGCAACGTGAAATATTATATATATTATCAAGTGGTTCAACGATATTAAATATCCTACGTACAATGTTAACTTATATTGATTCTGATATATATCGATTGAAAAACTATGATTTTACAACATTTAATGAAAATCTGAATGATTGTACTCAAAAATACTCACTTTCGGCGTTGTGTCCAGTTTGTTCATCAAACAACATAAATACTTCAGTATGTTATCAGGATTGTCGCCAGTTTATTCAACAATGTATTAGTACTTCAAATCAAAATCCATACATATCATACGCAATGAAAGCAAAAGAATATGCAACAGTTTTAAAAGAAATGCAAAATTCCATTATAGAATTAAAGGTAACTATTATATCGTCATTTTTATATGAGAAGAGATTTATATGATTTTTACGTTCTAGCTATTAGAACGTCTATCAAAATTGCACATATACCTCTATGATATGGTGGTTAATGCAACAAATAATGTTCAAACATATAAACGATTACAAATTGAATGTCCAAATGAAAAGTCTCGTGAATTCACACGCATTGAGACGCTACCACCAGTTATGAATGAACGTCAAGATCTTGTTTATAAATGGAATACATCTGTTCATCGAGTAATTAATAATTTGTATCACAATTTAGAAAATTTAAATGTTACACTCGAACAAGCTCAATTAGGTATTTGTAAAAACATCAAATATGCAACAGAATCTAGTGAATGCTCTAGTATCAACAAGTATGTACTTCCTCATTTTTAACTTATTATCTCATATTCTATTTCTTCATGATTTCAATGGTTCAGTGATACAAGATGGACAAGTCAAATAAAACAACAAAAATCAATAACACTATCTATAGAAAACGATATAATCGAGTATACACGAAATCAAGTGAAGGTGAGAAAGAAAGAGAATATTATACTAAAATTTTTTCATCGTCAATTACCTTTGAAGACTCGGACGCTGAATGATGTGCAGTATATAGAATATTTTCGAATAAAATGAACACCGTCTGAAATCTTTGTCGTATATTTGCTAATTCTCAGCCGTTGCACATTGGAGAAAGCTTGCTACTGAATATAATAGTAGATCAAACATTTTTCTGCATGTTGATACAAAAGCTAGAGCTTGATCTAAAATGCGGAGACCCACATTCATGTTTTACGTCAATTTGGCTAAAAGGAGACGCTTCGCTTTCACACTTCGGATAAAGACTTGATAGTATAGTAGCTCATTATTCCAATGAATCTTTTATATGGCTTTACAATATATCGAAGAAGAATATATTCTATGGAAGAAATTAAATTTTAAAATAACCAATTTATGATTAACTATGATAACCAGAACTAAGTAACTTTTGTAAAAATGTCCTGTTAATACCATTTCCTCAAAGTCATAATTATCATAGTTAATTTAAAATTTAATTTCTTCCATAGAATACATTCTTCTTCAATGTATTGTAAAACCATATAAAAGATCCGTTGGAATAATGAGCTATATGAGATAGAGTTCAGCATTTTATACAACTTTGTCATTTGGCATACTATCAAGTCTTTACCCGAAGTGTGCAAGGGAAGCGTCTCTTTTTAGCCACATTGACGTAAAACATGAATGTGGCTCTCCGCATTTAGATCTAGCTCGAAAACTGCGAGCTAGCAAATATATGACAAAAATTTCAGACGGTGTTCATTTTACCCAAAGTACCGTAATGCTAAGACTTAACTTTTTTTCAATTTAGGAATTGAGTAAAAAAATGGAATTAGTTACGGCGATAGTTATTTCATTAAGACCAAAAAAGATGCCGTCCTTTATTGACATTCCTGATTTTGAATCTTATGATGACAGTTCAAAAATCATTGATAACATAGCACACGATACACCATCATCAATATCTGAGAATAGCTATCGTAATTTTGAATTAAATGAACCTATGAATGAATCATTTAGTAATCAGATATATCAACGAATAGAAGAAGATGTGTCAGAAAATAAACTCAGAACGCCAACAACAAGTCGTTTCTATGGGGGATCCAGTAAGTTTGATTTTTCTTTTTCCACCGCCGTCATAGTCATTCTGCAACTTTAACTTAATTCTTATTTCAATTTAGCTGGCACTAAACGATATTTTTATTCAATTACATCAACAAAGCCGAGACAAGACAAAATAGCAAATAGTAGTCCAGAATCAATGGGTAACTTCTCAACATTTTGTTTTACTATTCTTCTTCTATTCTCATTCTCCACCATATGTACACCTCATCTTTTTTTAATAGATTGAAGTAATAATTTTGTAAAAACAAAGAAAATGTAGACACTTATCTATTTTTTGTACTCATCCACTTCTGTGACACTGCTCCAAATACTTTTTAAATCTTTTTTCTAAAACTTTATTCGTCCGGTGTCTTTTTCTCGTCTTTATCTCAATTCTTTTTTTATATTTTAAGATTAATATATAGGTTCTTTTATAGGGTTTTTTTTATTGTATAAACTGATACGTTTCACAAATAGAATGCAAAAATGTGTTTAATATTACAATTTCTAATATAATCTGCTAAATTGACAGAATAAGAGTTCAGTTTACGTTTGATCATTTGATTTCAACCTGATACCATTGCAAGCTATAGTAGAAATTGTTGACCGCCCATCACTGTGACGAAAGTGTGAGTTTTACATTAATATAAAAAAGAAAGTGAAAAACGCAACTCAACATGCATAATGTTGAAATATTAAGAGCAAAAGGAGGATTAGGAATGAATTAATTAGAAAGCGGCTTTGTACTATTCAAATTTCACAAAAAGTGTGAAATTGAGGACGTTTCGACGAGAAAAAAAAAGAATACTATAGCCACCTCTTCGAAATCTGATTGAGAAAACTTTTGATACCTGCTCATTCATTCAAACAGACTGCATTTAAAGTCGACCGTTATTTTTAGAGTTGAGAATAAATTTTTCTTATTCAAGTCAAAATGAAATGAAGTGTTAACTGATCGTGATGACTCATCGAATGATTATCGTGCTTAATTTAATAATCGGTGTTATTGTTTTAAGGGAAGAAACTAAATTTTAAGTTTTGAAAATTCTTAAACATTAGTATTCGGACAATAACAAAAAAACGCATTGTTATTTTGGGTACTTTCTAAGTTTTAATGTATACACACAATTATTTTCTTAATCAACTAAGACTATCGAATGGATCACTTTTAAAAGCTGAATTTCTCTAACTACCGCAGTTTTAATTTCTCTAACCTTCTCCTCTATAAATCTATTCCAGAACTATATTGTTCAAGAACAGTCACAAGTCAACTCTCCCGCTGAAGTCGCGGCGTAAGATCTCACGAAATAAGAGTCGCGATTCTGGATAACAGTTTTTTCGTGATCAGCTAGATAACCGCATCTAACTTTGCGGTCACTATTTACCGGACTCTTATATTCGCACCGTGCCTCTTGGCCATTCGCATTTCTTATGGCGACTTCGGGAAAACAGTCTTTTTGAGACATGAGCCGCGACGAACGCGTCGTCACTCATATTGCTCGCGGCGAGAATACAGAAAATATCTTTTTTATTGTCAGACAAAAACTCTTAGCGGGAGTGATAGACAATGTTTTTAAAAGAGTTTAAAATTTATCCAAGGTCGCGTCATGACAACGTGAGTCAGTCACGATCGTGAAGCGACTGTGTGGCTCCACCATGACGACAAGCGTGAATCGATAGCGATCATGGGCACAACAGGTGACTTAGGGCGTTATAGCTTAAAACAAAAGACATTATGAAATTCTACAGAACATTTTGCACGCAGTTCAACTTTATGTTTTCTAGAGGATGTTGCTTACTTTAAAACTATTATGCGATGTGGAAAGTAATCTCGTTCAATAGTGTAGACAATTCTGCATCTGTTGCTATTAAACTTATGATGTTTTCGGAAATTGAAACACTCGGATATCTTAAATGTTACACGGAAACTAAATTAATTTCGGAATCAAATATATAGTTAGATGAAGAAGTAAGTTTTATGTCGTTTGATCATAAAACGAAATTTTGTAACACTGCTTTAGTGAGACAAATTTAACTTTCAAAAGTGATTAGTTGTCTCGGATCTATCCGATGTTTTGGCTGTAAGTGGAAACCATTAACTCTGTTTGACAAGTTTAGAACAATAATCTGCTTCCTTTACATAATAATTAATTCAAACGGCGATTTCAAATGTCATCATGGTGAACAACTGAGTCTACTAATTCGTTTACAAAAAATTGTACATCATGAATAAAATTAGTGTGATTTAATTTCGATTGTATTACTGGTATTTATAATTCTACTATACTAGCATATTATCCAAAACATGTATTCTTTATTAGTATGCTCGATTTGTGTTGAGACAATTCGTTAAAAAGCATACGACACGGTACAATCCAGAAAAATATCAATGAAACATCTAATGATCGTATGAAACTTCCTAAATGATCAACGCTAAAATCCAAAAGTTGAGCAAAATTGTAGAGATCAACATAATAAAAACAAAAGAACGGTCAAATTTTATTTGAAAAGCATTGTCTTTTATTTTTCTATTTTTTTGAAAACATCACCGTCAAAAACAACAACAACGAGAAAAACAACGACTTTGAAGAGAATAACTGAGCGTGCTTTTGCAACACACATATATATACACACACACACATAACGTATCATTCATACTTTTTCAGAAGAGATTAACTATTTTTTAAATTAAACAACAACGATGACGATATATTTGTACAGAACAACAATAATAATAATTAGTTCACCGAGTATGCAATGCATGCGCGGATCTTTGAAATTGGATGAAAAGATTCTAAAATACGAAAGAAATGAAAGAGAAAAACCTTTTTTAAGTAATACATGGTTCCTCTTGATGTGTGGTATTCGTTGATAATCTTAAACGTTTCATATCAGAATAACAACCACCAAGTGACGATTGTTTACGTTTCAAATAATTTCTTAATGTTTTCAATGTTGGATTTTCTTGTTGTGGTGGATGTGGTAGTTTCTCAGCACTCACCGGTACAATAATATTCCTATCGTTTGATATTGGTAAAGAATTTATGCTATTATTATTACAAAACGTTTCAGACATCACCGGTTCGAATTCGTCATTGTTTTCAACATTGTCTGATTTTACATCAACTACTAACTCGTCATTATATGTTACTGAGCTATTGTTCATATTTGTTGCTGTCGTTGTTGTTGTTGTTAACCATGATGACTCAGTTGTTCACCATGATGACATTTTAAATCGCCG